AGAGAATTTCAAATGTATCTAGTCGAAATAAAACATTAAAGGAAGACACTAAGAATAACCAGCAAAGTGTAAATATTGCCAATCAGAAATCAACAAAAACATGGGAGAAACAAGAGAAAAATACAGGAGACCGAGAAAGTATAGCTTGGGATAAACATGATATTAAGCAGCGCAACAAGAATCAAAATGTCCAGGAATCATCTAGTCAAAATGTTTCAAGTAAATGCAATTGTATAGATTTATATTTAAGTCATTATTATTATACTAAATTAATATTAATTGTGTTTAGGAGAAAAAGGAAGAAAATTGTTCCCGAAGAAAAATTTGGCAAAAGAACGTATGCAAAGAATAAGAAAAAATTTGAATATCGATAAGGAAAAAATTCAGGAAATGTGTCGTGCCGATTTAGTTAGCAAGAAACCTTCACAAAAGTTTAGAAAAGGTTTGTCTGGTTTGTCTGGTAATTATATAAAATTTTATATATATCTTATATTTTACACTTTCGATAAAGTTTCGAGATATATGTTTAGACTTTTCAGTATTTTTACGTTGCTTTGTGTTTGCAGACAATGACAACTTAGGATCGACATGTTTTTATAAAAATGTTGATGTACGACTTAAGAAATTGCATAATAAAATCTTGAAAAATGCAATATATGAAAGAAATTTTACATTAAACGATGATAAATCACAAAATCAACAAAGTAATAGACCAGTTGCCGGAAATGATAAAGTAATGACAAAAGATAAATTAATAGAACAGGCTGAACGGGAAGTTCTGTACGAAGAAATGGATTGGGAACCCATGAAAGATGAGGAAATTGCGTTAGAGGTATGACCAGTATAATTGAAACATTACACGAACATAATTTATATTATAGGAGAAATCCACAATACGAATATATTTGACTATTGTATCTTCTTCAAGACTTAATCTTTAAAAGACATCTTTGTTTTATATGTTACCGTAAAAGAAACTTTAATATATTTCGTGTTTTCGTACTTTTTCTTATATAGGTAGAAGTTGTCAGGACACAACTTGATAAAGACAATGTAGAAACAGATTATATATCAAAAAATATTGTAGATTTAACACAATCCGACAAAACAGAATCACACGAAAAAGGTCCACTGCACATTGTTGTTGACACAAATGTGTTTCTGTCAAATCTGGAAATTATTGAAAAAGCAAGAGATGCAATCTTTAAGAATTATCCACGTCCTTTTATTGTAATTCCATGGACCGTGATATGTGTAAGTATAATATATGTACAGTATAGCAAAAATTTTGTCACGTCTCTGTAAAAGTTTTAATATACATGTTTTTTTTTTTTGAACATTTTTTTGATATAGGAATTAGACTACTTCAAAGATAATAAGTCTAAACATGAATTATCATTAAAAGCCAGAAAAGCCATATCTTTCATTCACGATCAGTTTTCCTCTAAGCACCCACGTATCATAGGACAAACACGAGAGCAGGCAGCGACAAATAAAAAGGAATTTTCTCTCAATTGTCCAGATGATGAGATCCTTCAGTGTTGCTTACAGATTCATCAATTAGGAAAATCAGTGGTACGTTCTTTTGTTACATCATACATAATGCACGCATATATTAAGAACGAATAGAAGTGTTATTTTTATTTTATATATGTAGGTCTTGCTATCTTATGACAAAAATCTCTGCACTAAAGCGATGATATATAATATACTAGCATTGGGACGCAATGATCCACTTGAAAAAATAGATTATTTAGATACGAGTGGTATAATGGTCAATAATTTGAATGATGGTCCCGTTGAAAAGTCTCTCTTTAACGACGAATTACGTTTAACAGATGATATTTTTGAGGATGCCAAATTGATCGTGAAAAACTTTTTGTCAACGGTACGCATTGTATGTTAGATTGTGAAATGTGTCAATTTTCACGAGCTCATATCGAACGAATATTTTTATGTTCAGATTATCACGAAGCAAATGTCAGAAATTTATGGAGAAGCAGAGTGGAAGATATATGTCATTATAAAGCCACCTTGGACTGCAATAACTGCATTAAAATGTGCTATAAAGCACTGGATTGCTGCCATTAATGAATCGTTCCAAAGACGCGCTGAATATATCCTAAAGGAATTGCTTGACGCTTTTCTACATATACCAGGTTACCTATACATGTTGTAACCTATTAAAACTATATTCTGCAACTTGAGCCTAATCTTGATGGTTCTTTTAGTGAGTGGCAGAAAATTGCAAGATGTGGAATATATTTTAGAGAAGTGCAGCGACTTGGTACAAATGGTTAATATGGATAAACACTGTGATCTCATGACCCAAACGTTCAGTACTATTACAGTAATATTTTTTTTATATATTTTTAAATATTTTATTATTTTGGGAGAGTTTGAAAATTAATACTTTCAAAATTTATACTTTTAGGAACTCAAGGAGAAGTGTAAGAAATGTATCGCTGATATCAACCTGAAAAAATTATACGATAAAATAGGCGTCGTAGAAAATGTCCAAGAACAAGAAATGAGAGCGGAAAAAGTATTCCAGTGCTTCCAGCATATCTATAATTACACACGTGACATGTGGTGAGATTTTTTATAGATATTTATAACTTCATACACGCACGCGTGCGCGCGTACAAAAATGTATTATATACATCACTTTTTGATATATATTAATAAGAATACTGCTATTCTTTCTTTGTGATTAAATATTATTATATTTATATTTTATAATAGTGGTTTGGCATGCAACAATGCAGGAATGGCATATTCTTTTACCTTCAACTCTATAGATCCACCATTGACACAAGCATCTGTACAACGTTTGCAATCAGAAATTACCAGAAAAGTGACTGATCTGACGCAGAATCTAAATAAGTAAGTTATTTCTTAATTCGGGAATAGTAACCTAGTATTTTTTTAGGCGTGAATAATTACCTGGGATGTTTTTTATATCCAATTAAAAATCACTTTGACTACGTATTGTATATTATTGATTGTTTTACGTTTTATCGTTATCTGAGATTAGGACGTTTTATCGCTATCTGAGATTAGGACGTTTTATCGTTATCTGAGATTATGTACATAGATTTACTTAATATTTTATAAAGGGAAAAAAGAATTTTAAAAAAGTATGAATTCTCGATCAATAAAGAAAATACTATAATTGAACTTTATTTTCTTATTGCTAGGATACAAAAATCACCCCAGGGATTACTCCCGGATTGATAATGTCAATAATCTGTTGATACTGATAGTTTATGACATTATTTTATGTCAAGTTATTTTATATTGTATACATACATATATATTTATGCAATTTTTTTGTAATTAGGTTACTGGTGCAGGCTGATGATTCTATAAAATATCAGACGTTACTTAGTTTACAGCAAAATTTAAGTACATTTTTGCCTGACACAGAGAGGATAACATTTGACGTGGTACCTTTGGATATATATTGTTGTGTTAAATTAAAAGAAGAAGCATTAAAGACTGGATTAAGACAACTACAAGAATTAACTTCGCATTTCTGTGCACTGGCTGCTCATTCATAGTTGTATGTATTTGTAATGTATGTATTGTAATTCAGTGTTTGAAAACATGTAGATATTTACAAAAATGTATATACATTTAATCTATAAGTTTTAAATATATTAACGATATATATTAATGATAATATATTAATAATATTAACGAAATATTATAAAAATATTTTTAATTTTATAAGAGAGTGACTGATATATCAATGGTGTCAATGAAAATGAATTATTGTGATTTATTTTTGGGTAAAAGTACTTTAGAATTGTCTTTTGTTGATTATATTGCGTATACGAGAAGTGTATCGTTCGAGAAAAAAATGTGAAGTTTTTTTTATCCATATATTTTTTACCTAAGTATTAATATTAATACAAGTTAGTCTCTTGAAAATTTTGCATATGTAACATTTTTCATTGGTGCTATCGATATTTTTTTGTAATTATGTAAACTAAGAATTTGTTTTATTTTTTAATATATGGATATTTCTTGTGTATATGGATTAATGTCATCATCATGGATTAATAACATCATTTTCTGTACAGTGAGAAAAGAAACGAATATTTTGAAGAATAAGATTGCGCAATAAACAATGGACGATAATTCGTAACACGATTAATATGATACAATTAATTTTTATAAAGATTCGCAAAACCTTCAGCAGGTTGTTGAAGCCAGTTTTCCTTGGAATAATATACATGTTTCGTCTCAATCACGTGAAAAGTGTAAGCGTGCCTCGATGTCTCACTCTTGTTTGAATAAGAAAAGTGGACCACCTGGCCGTGGATAAGAATACAAGTTCCTTTGCGTACTGGTACTGGTCTGAAATTACTTAACGGATAGCAAGGCGCCGCTCTGTCGAAAATTAGTAACTCTTGGGAATTCGGATCTTTGTTTCTCATATAACGCCTGTGCACTCCGCTCTGATGTGAGCCCGGAGCGATCCATAGACATCCGTTTTCTAGCGTTGCATCCTCCAATGCAATCCAGAAACCCAGGAGTTTCACCGGTTCAACATATAAATATGATGCGTCCTGATGCATCGTAACTGCAAGGAAATAACAATTATGTTCGGCTTAATGTTGCAGTGGTTATTACATAATAGTGTATTCTTGTTAAATCACATATTTTTATTTCAGTTAAATAATTCTCATGCGCATTGAGTTATATAAATATAATTATGAGAATTATTTAATTACCTTCCGAGCCTATTCCGGGATTTTTGTAAATGTACATTGATTGGCATACGACTGGTTCCTCGTAGTCTAATTGGAAAGCAACTTCTTTGACTCTCTCATCGAACGTGTACTTTTTGAAAGTAGGATGTAACCAATGAAGAGCGTGGCCTACCTGGAAATTATTAAGTCACCGTAAAATAATTTGAAATTATTTCAAAATATCTTCGTAGGAATTGATTTAACTAGAGGTACGGCTCTTTTGAGATAGTTTACTTTGTTTAATGACACTCTTGGATGAACCTTCAATTTCCCGTCCTCTTCCAGAGCTTCAGTCTCAAAGAAAACACTTATTTTATTGGCGCTATCCAAAAAATACTTATCCTTATTCTGAAATAAGATCATATAATCATTACTTCCGTTAACATTAATATTGACTTTTATTTGTATAACATTCACAGGAAATTAAGTCTCGAAATTAACGAAAATATAGTTTTACATTAATACATAATACAGTGATACATACAAAGAATAAATTTATGTTTTACAAAATTTATTCTTTGTACGTATCTACCTTCTTTGATAAAAATCGTTTTTAAGTATTCACAAGTTATACGTTGTACGATCATCTCTGACTGATTCTGAATCGCCATATTAATATTTATACGCTTTATACTGTTAAGTTTCACAATTGATTATATTCTTATCACCTGTTGTAACTGTATCGTATTGAATACTTTTCGTTCCGATTCAGGTGGCAATTTATTCGTTAATTCTTCTCCACAAGCTCTCAATTCTTCGATCTCTTCCGGTCGAAAGAAGTCCTCCAAAATGACGTAGCCATTTTTCTGAAACTTAATTTAAAAGTATAATTAATATATAAATATTATTTTGGCATTTTTATACATATATAAGCTAATAAAATAAGTGGTTTAAAATACCATATCTTTTTTTTAATTACAAGCGCGGAAAGAATCAAGAAATGATAATGTGTAAGAGAAGTCGCTTTCCATTATATATTATATTCATAAATTAAAAAAATGGATTTATATAAAAAATAAATATACATAAGATATAGATGCGCGGAAGAACTAAAAAAATATTTATCCATTTTCCGGAATAATCTGCAGTCTCTTTACTTGAATTTCATAGCATCATTAACGTCACCGTAAAAATTTGAATTTTGTAGTAAAAGTTGAATGAATCTGAGAACAACGAATCGCTTATTCGATTTATTGCCGGGATAAGATAAGCGGTAATTGAAGGTCGTCGGTTCAAAATTTAAAGAAATTTTGTTTCCGGTCATTTGATCATCTGACCGATCAATGTCGTAGTTTCGTTGCACCTTGCACCACGATGTTTTGAGTGATAGACTACGATTCTATAAATAGATCACGACCGATAAAGCCATCTAAGAATAAACCCATGGGCATTGCCTGCTTCAGAGGGGAAACGCACGCCCAGAGTTCCTACGTTTTTCCGTTTCACACCTATCGCATTCCATGCTTCGCGTCAGCGCCGATCATGCAATCAGATTGCGATGCGCATACATCCGTTAAAAAAGCAGCAAATTGTTTTGTTACCGGTTAAGATAGTTCGACATGTATTACGTGTGTCAGACGTTTCAGATTAGTCCAAGGTGGAAAAAACACGTGGAAAAAAAATATTTTTTTTATACAAAAAAAAATATATATATATATATATATATATATATATATAATCTTGCATTTCTCTTAATTATTATCTAATATCTTAATGGCTTTGTTTTCTCATTTGTGGCGCTGTTTATATTCAGCTTTCGAAAAAATATTTTTCTTAATAATTAGGCTACGTCGGCGTCGCGTTGTTTCATTTCCCCATTTTTTATCCGCCGATAATTTTATCCAATTTTCAGAAATTTATTTTTATTAACCGGTTATCATGCGTGCGCGACGTGTCATTAAGACTCGTAGTCTAAATAAATTATATATAAATAAAACGTTTGCGCAACAGAGATCGTCGCGTACATCGTAGTTTTGTGATTCACGTATCGGTATATAGATATACAATCTCACACGCTAGTTGGCAGAGGCCTTTCCGTGTTATCTCACATGCGAGTGCGCGTCAAAACGGGTGTTTCGAAATTGCAAAACGCCGTTAAACGAAAGCGAAACGTCACTTCGTGCGGTATTTAATTCGCGGAACGGTTTTACGAGCAATTCCCCTAAGAGCCGAGACGTACGTTCGTCTTCTTGTTGCATATTCGTTAATCGTTTGATTTACGATCGAACGGACATTTAGAGGGCCGACAAAGTCGCCAGAAAAAAAAATAAGGAAGCTGCATTCGGCAAAATTCCAAAACTTGCATGTCAAAACGAAACCTCTCCGCGGTGTTAGTAGATGGTCGGGAAAAAGGTGTGCCGGGCGCGCGGTATTTTTAGCGTTCGAAACGGCGGGATATCGGTCGTAAACATTGCCGAAAGTCACATCGCGCGATCGTAGGAAGTCCCGCGCTTGTCATTCGTTCGAAAGCTACACGGTCTCTTCCTCGTTCCGGTGACGGCTCGCCGCTCGGGAAAAACGCGCGTCGCAATAAAGACACCACGGGGAACGCAGAACGCTCGCGGGTATCTTCGAAAAATCCGCAATTTATGTGCGCTATTTTTACGTTTCGATTACGGCGAAACGCATTATTGCATCGCCACAATATAATGCATTTCCTGCGATAAAGGGGAAATATCGTTCGGCGCAGTAGCAATTTTATTTAAGACAATGATATCTGCAATCTTCTCTGCTTTGTGCTGCCCTCAGCTGAGCTCTGGCCTTCGAATTGTCACACCGCTCGCAAACAAAGAGATTACACATCGATCTTTTTTATGACAGCCGTACATCAATCACTCTTTTTCTCGAGATGATAGTTAATAATGAAGACGCAAGAAACGATAGATTTGTAGAATATATTTCATCTTCATCTCTGACAATGATTTCTCACTCCATATTCAACCGAGTATTCAACAGCATTGCTGTGAATATATTGAATTGACATTTAATTCTTCCGCCAATATATGTGAGATTTTTCTAAAACTTCAGGTCAAACGTTTTTATTAAAATATTGAGCAGCGATACAAGAAAAACGAAAAAAAAGGTTTCTTGAGAAAGTAAGTTGTAAAATTTAACGAAGTCCATCACGATTAACATTTTACGTTTTATTCATTCTGTTATATTGACCAGATAGTATAAGTTTTACGTAACAACGCGATAAAGATTAAAATTTACGATTTCAATGTGGAATTTTTCCTTTTATTTGCCACAGTTATGGTGATAAGAGACCGTTATTTGAATGATGTAATTTGAAACGGTTGTTTCAATAATGTATTTTTTTGGATATAAATGTAATCAACAGATTATTTGAGGTTTTTCGTTTAATTTGCCACAGTTTATCAAGTTAAACTCCCTTAAGTTAAAAAACCGTTGTTTGAATGATTTAATTTAAAACGATTGTTTCAATAATATAGTTGGATGTAAATGTAATTAACGGATTATTAATTACTTTTCAAATTTAATGAGATAAGAAAATATATGTATGTCTGTGTGCGTACACACAAATTAATTTTATTATTTTATAAATATACTTAACACACAAAATATATGAGAGGATATACATTTTTTCTTATTAAATATATTTATAAAATAATGAAATTAATTTATACATATACACATATATACCTACACGGAAAAAAATGAAGTTGCTTCAATTAAACGTCGACGTCACGGGCTGCCACAAGCATTAAATAGTTAATTCAATTGGATATTATTGGACCAAATATTTAAATTATTAAAACAATTAAGTATCTGATGTTTTTTGTTCATTAATATTGATGTTGCCTCAATAACACTGTTGATACAAAAAATGATGCTGTTGATACGTCATTTTTTTCCGCGTATAAAGTAGGTTGCGGTGTTCCAGACGAAAGTTATATCGTTCAAAGATGAGGGACAAATAATGGTAAAATCAATTTTCGGAAAACATTTTTTTTTTCAAAATCACATAAATTTCATCGCCATTTTTTAAATAGAATTGATTTTTTTACATAATATAATTCTTCTCTAATATTCTGCATATAAAAGTATTAAGGTAGAGTTATCAAAAAATTAATAGTTTGCGAGATATTTTATATTCCGTATCAAAATGTGCCAGAATAAAGTACAAAATATCTCAAACTATTAATTTTTTGATAACTCCACCTTAATACTTTTATATGCAGAATAACTGGAAGAATCATATTATGTAAAAAAAAATCATACAATTCTACTTTAAAATATGACGATGGTCTTCATGTGAGTTTAAAAAGTCGATTTTTTCAACTTTCGTCTGGAACACTTTTCTTTTAAATGCTTCGCTTTTCAAGCTATTCAAGTGTCTCAATTTAAATGCTGTGTATATAACACATACGCAGTTAATTGATTTCTGTAGTACTGATTCGGTTTGCGAGCATAAGAATTTTAAAGCCGCGTATATAAGCACCTCGCGAGCGAATTCGATAGCCAAACTCGCGCGGGCATACTACGTTTATTAACATTAACAAAGTTATATGCGTGCGAAGCACATCCCGAAAATAGCGTATGGCTAGTCGTTGTTGACAGGTGGGTGGTTGGGCTACGTCATTTCCCCTTGTCGTCGACATTTTTCTGAAATTTCGTCCGTATATACGAATGACTCAAGCCATCCGCGAAAGCGCTGAATCGCGTGGATAGAAATAGAATGGAATTACGGGATATGTAAGGTTCGTGGGCGTTCATCATCCGTCGTTTGCCTCTCATCTCGTAGCGCAATTACCAAGGATCAAGGTCGCCTACGGTATTTCGAATTAATTTGAGTATATATGTCGAATTCGCGAAGAGTACTTAAGTTAAAAACGTCCTAAAGGTCCTCTGATCCTATACTTCCTTCCAACCTTTTGGTCATATCGATAAAAAAAAGATGAAAAACGAAGGTTTTATTAATAATGGTAAATTTTGATAATAAATAAGAAATGTGAGGCTTGTTTTAACCGATTCACAACTCTAACTCTTAAAAAAACTTTATTATATCTTTTCCTCTTATTATTTCGAGCAATTAAAAACGTCAAAAAAAAGTTTTACTTTACGATAGTCATCTTCCAGAAATACAAAATGTTCGAAATGTTTTAAAATCTTTTATCTTCTATTATTTTTTGATATCTTTTTATACGAAAGAGATATTTTCTCTCGTTGGAGGGCGGTTTTTAATTACTTAAAATATGGATCTCTTCGTGTGATAAAACACGCTATCTATTCATTACATAACGCACCCAAAATGAAAGAATTATTGGAATATGTGTGCGCCTTTTTTCCCTTTTTCTACTGGAACAAGAATAGACTTTTCGTTGAATCTTTTCCGTTGGTCCCAAGTACGTAAAACATACACAGCGATAATATATGTTGCCCATTTGGTCTCTTTCGTTAAGATTTAAAAATAGTCTCCAAAATTCTACAGTGACAAGAAAAAATCATTCGGATCATCATAAATGGTCAAGCGATAAGGCATAATTCGATAACAACGTTTTGTTTTTACGAAATCCTCAGCTTCTCTGCGACTACGATTCGGTTTGTGAATATCGTTCTTAAAATAATTAATAAAAATTTCTCGCAGATGCAGAGGAAATTGATTCCAAAATTCGAAATCTTTCAGAACAATTAGCAATTATACGCACGCATGTAATTAAACGTTTAAAGCCCCTTGCACAATGCCAAACAACAGGCAATAGGAACAGGAAATAACCAAAAAATCGTTAATTACAACCTAAAAAGTTTGAATGCTATGATTGGTTGGCAACAAGCAATAGGCACAAAATTTCCAACGTGACGGAAACTCTGTGTCTATTGCCTGTGTCACTGTTTATTCTGCATTTATACATGATTTCTGATTTCTATTCCCTGTTCCTATTGCCTGTTGCCTGGCATTGTGCAAGGGGCTTAACTCTCTTCTTTTATTCTTATAGTTTTCCGTAAAAAAGAAATACAATTTCCGCAAAAAATAACTTTATATTTTTTAATATTTTTCTTTTAATATACACATATTTATATTATTATATTGTTAGTTACATATAGGTATTATTATTAAAAATAATGTTCATATATTACAGCTTTCAAATAAAGGATTGTAATTATAATAAACTGATAAAATTTAGAAAGCAATAATTTAAGAAATTGGGTTTAAAATATTCAAGTATTAAGGAACATTAATTGTCTACTTTTTTATCATTATAAATTGCTGAAGTATTATTTCTTATTGTTGCAAAAACATTGGAAAAGAAAGAGAAAAGAAGACAGAGAAAGAGTTAAATCTAAGCTATTAATTTAAATAATATATATAAGATATTAATTCTTTACAACAGGCAATGCAACAAAAATATAATCGTAAACGTGCGATAAGATTAAAAGTGAAAGTAAGTCAGAAATAAGTTGTTAGCAAGTTGCTACTACGTTTCGATAGAACGACAGATTATTCGAGTCATATTAATTCCCGCCGTTTACCCGCGCTTGCCTGAATTTCTTCACGTTGAAATTCAGAGCACTGGGCAGATATCACATGACCTCCGAACCGAGTGGTCCGGTCAATTATGTCATCTCGTATGGCATGAACTCCAGTGACGCCGTTAGTAAACGACTACATTGTGTACCCTCATTTCTCAGTTCGTTGATGCAATCGTTAGAGGCTCATCGTTAAGGTCGTTCTACATTAGTCGCAAGCAATCCATATTGTCGCAAGACGCAAGAGGCGCTTTTACACTGCAATCACAAGTCACAGCCAATCAAAGAAGAGATTTGTTGTAAAAATGTCATTATCAACATGTCCTAAGCAAGCAGAACTGCTAGTAGCACAAGTAAATAGTATTGCTTTCTTCGCAAGCAGTACTACTTCCGGTCGTAACGTAGTCGCAAATAGTAATCACAAGGTTTGACCAAATCCAAAATTTGCGTCTCTGCGACATGTGAATACGAGCAGTTGAAAAAATGTATACAATTCTATGGGAGCTTTCCAGCAAGCGACACAGGTTGACACAAACATCATTCTATCTCCCTTTTTTTAGCAATGAGTAACAAAGACAAAACGACACTTGTGTCGACTTGTGTCGCTTGCTGGAAAACTTCCTATAATTCCTTAATTACATACGTAAAGCCGAATGACTCGATTTTTACTAAAAGTAGATGCAACATACCGTAAACTAAAAAATATATATCTTTAATTTTGATGTACAAAAATTGAACATTTATCGATTGTTATATTTTCACCGCAATACAAGAGTTGTACTTCTCATTTTGCGGATATTTCATTATTATCATTATTAGTTCTCTCTCTCTCTCTCTCTCTCTCTCTCTCTCTCTCTCTCTCTCTCGCCCCCTCCCTTTCCTCTTTCTGTTTTGGGATCCTAAACCAAAGGCCGGACTACGACGGAATGCACCTTCATCTAAACGGAATTGAAAAGTCGATAATTTTGATCGTTTTCTGTGTCACCGGCCTATATCTGCCCTTGCATAGACAAAGATAGACAAGATTATAGTACCTAGCTACAGTGCACAATAATAGATCTACACGCATAACTTTTTTGTTAGGTGTCTAATCCTAATTCTGAGAACCGTATGGTATTTCTTGATGTAATCCACCTTCCACGGTCTCATTTTGTAACAACAAATTGTAAAATTTTTATATGAAGCAAATGTTGTCACGAGTCGACGTCTTATTAATTGTCTGCATTTCTGAAATTATTTTCGTTCTTGGTATAAAATCAACCACCGTGGAGAGCATTAGCGCATATACTTTAACTTTGGAGAAGAATTTTTTTAAATCCATAAAGTCACAGTAAAAAGATATGCGTTTAGTAAAGATGTTGGTATTACAGACGGCTTTAAGATCTCCTATAAAGGACATGTTAAAACTTCAAGCCATATGTACATTTCTACTCTTATCATCCATAAATCTTAAAACAATAAATATATATTAAAAATGTTTATTATTCCATCCATTGTTGCATTCGTTACTCTTTCGAAAAAAAATGTCAATATATTTCGAATAAATTGGTATATCTTGACGAAGAATCATTCAATCAAAATTTTTGTCAAAAACGTCATCGATTAAATTACCGTCCACGTGTCAGACTCGACGACACGAGGGCGACGCGAAGCTCCTTTTGTCCTACAGGAAAGCGGTGCGGTGTACGGGAAAACAATTCTCACGAGTATTTTTCAGTTCCGTGTGGGACTCACCTGCGCGCGAATGTCTTTCATCCCGGTGCACGTGTTATCGCAGCGTAGTCGAATCGCGGTGAATCTCGAACTTGTTCGCTGATACACGAGGTGACAGAGTGAGACCGGAACACGTCTGCAGCCGAGTGCTCGCACCAAATGACTAGGTGAGCCCGTGGATACTGCGAAGTCCGTGTCTGGCCGACGACTCGGGCTTGTGCGAGCATAGCGAGATCGATGCGTTGTTCCGCCGGAATATCACACTAGCATCTTTGATTTTTCCGCACAGATCCACCAGAATTTATCACCTGACAAAAAGTCAGGGGACCCTCGGTGATACTGACAACTGACGTTGCGGACGATTTATCTCAAACATGCGTTCGCGATGCGTCATTCAGATAACTATATCTTCCTCACGAAGATATTGCACTTTCGTGCAAGAAGATAGTCACGTGTTAAAAAGTTAATTATATTTAAGTTGATTATTCATCACGCATGATTTGATTTTACGCTCGCAGACAAAATTAATCTCGAAGTGAATTCCAAACTTTATGAAGATATTATAAAGAAAAGTTCGTTTAAATTCGTTTCTCAATTGAGTTTACTTATCAACACGCTAAATACATTCCGTACGTTTTTTATGGTTTTATTTAATGTTGAGAACAGTTTAATTTCTAAATTATAACTGTTATAAAAATTCGATACACATGTAGGTATACACTTCTTTACGATAATTAAAAAAGTTATAGCAAGTCATGGTTATTTTGACGAAATGACATGGCATAATCATGCAATAAATTGTTAAGGTAAGATAACTAATGTTTAAAACGATAATACCTCTGTCACTCTTTTTTTAATTATTCGCGTGTAAGTACTCATATACAGATAAAAAAATATTGTATTATTTATGGAAAGAGAAGTCTTTACTTTAATGAAGAAAGTACATATAATCATACATTATCATTGACGATAATTATTCAATGTTAATTAAATCATTAACATCTTTGTTTTTTTTTCTTAAAATATTCCTATCAAAGCATAAAAGAACAGTACTAAAATTAAATTTTATAACATTTATAACATTTATGTATGTCTTTCTTTATTAAAATAATGATTTTCCTTTCCATTAAGCGAATACTTTTGACCGGTCCTGTATATTATAGATTTTTAGTAAGATATATACATATGGTCCAAAAAAAAAGTTTCGGGACTGGCAATACTGCGCGCGCCAGGATGACAATATTGTTGAATCGCGGGTGAAGTATTATAGCTGAGACATTTGTTTAATTTAGTAGAAAGCTTCGTCAGAATTGGTTGCGACTCATAGCGCATTTTCATCGTATGTGTATCGATACATAATATCAAAGACGTTAAAATTGGGACAGCGTATGTGAGCATTAAGTTCTACTATAAATTTGGAAAAAAATGCAACTGTGACATTCAAAATGCTAGAATTTGGCGTCCGAACTTCGCTGAACGCAGCAGTTGGCGTTTTCAGCACGACAACGCACCCGCGCAGCTCGAGTATCATTGTAAAGACGCTTTTGGCAAAGAAGGAGATATCAGTGTTGGAACACTCCCTACTCTCCGGACTTGGCCCCTGCGGACTTTATATTGCTCCTCAAACTGAAAACCGTCCGGAAGGGAAGATATTTCGAGAACGTCAATGATAGTCAAAGAAATGCAACCGCCGAACTCAACAGCCTCTCTTACGACACGTACATTTAAACAAGCATTCCAAAATTTGTACAAGCGATGTCATCGATGTGTAAACGTTGCCGGGGAATATATTGAAAATTAAAAAGCGTTTATTTGATTTTATGTTACGTATTGCAATTTTTTTATTTTATTAGAAACTTTTTTGTCAGATTGTGTATTATAGATTTTTTGTATGCAGTATGAATATACATATATCTATCCTATCTGTGAATCCAATTATACGTAAATCAAATATGTAAATAAATGATTTCTATTTCTATGATATAATAAAATCCTGGTAATGAACGTAGCGTTGGCCTCACGGTTCTTTGCTTATTTCGCAAGCTCCTGTTTGTAAGCCCAGTTCAGTTGCAACGCGATGCTCTTTTCGCGCTCGGCACTCACGGTCAGTCGGACATCGGACACTCGGCCATTCGTAACGAACGTCCAGGAAGTAAAGTTTCGAGAGTCGATTTTTTACAGGCTGCTTCAAAATCAACATGCCAATAAGAATGCATTTCTTTGGAGATGAGCAAAGTATATCAGTGTCGCAGAACAAATAAACGTGCTTCTTACCTTCTGATTTTACTTCCTGCTTTATATCTTCACATACCGGAATTTGCTCAATTTAATTAAATTAATTATTTAATTATTGTTTAAGCCGTTAATATTAAATTGAGATCCTATTCTAGAATAGTTATTTGTATAACAAGTGCTGTAAGTTGGAAATTGGACGTGCGGAGTGGACGCACGAGCCGGAGGCGAGTGCGATCACCCGCACGTTCAATTTTCAACTTAACACACGTGTTGCACACCCTATTTTATATTACAAGTGCGTGGAAAGTGGCCCATTACGAGCGTGTCACGCGCGTAATGTGCCACTTTCCACGCACGTGTGATGTAAAAATATTTTCTTTATACATATATATTGCACATATATCTATACGTATGTATGTATTAAACGTGAAACTGAATGATAGCATCACGTGGAAATTATGGAAGGGACTAATTTATCACGTAATGATATCTATACTATTATATAAAATCCTTACGGGTGGTGTATGTTTGAACGTTAATAACTTGAAAACTATTGGACCGAATTTTTACCACAAGTACATGAAATAGGACTAGAATTTTCCGGGGAGTGCTATAGAGTGTGTAGTTTTTCGTTACCGATTTTTTTAATTTTTTTAATTCTTACAGGTAAAAGAATTAAAAAAATCGGTTTTCAAAAAATAGATAACGAAAAACTATACACTTTATAGCACTTCCCGGAAAATTCTCCCCCTATTTTATATGGTTTTAATACAAATTCGGTCCAATAGTTTTTAAGTTAAAAACGTTCAAACATACACCACCCGTAAGAATTAGAAAAATAAAAAAAAACGTTAACTTAAAAACTATTGGACCGAATTTATATTAGAACCATATAAAATAGAGGTAGAAATTTCCGGCGAGTGCTATAGAGTGTATAGTTTTTCGTTATCTATTTTCTGGAAACCCATTTTTAAAATTTTTTCAATTCTTACAAGTGGTGTATGTTTGAACGTTTTTAACTTAAAAACTATTGGACTGGATTTGTATTAAAACCATATAAAATAGGGGTAGAATTTTCCGGGGAGTGCTATAGAATGTATAGTTTTTTGTTACCGATCTTCTGGAGAAACCGGTTTTTCTAATTTTTTTAATTTTTACGCGAAATAATTGACCGAATTTCAAAGAATTATATATGAAATAGGGATAGAATTTTCCGGAGAGTGATATAAAGTGTATAATTTTTCGTTTCCGATCTTTTTGGAAACTGGTATCAAAATTTTTCCAATTTTTCGGGAATTAATTGCCCGAATTTCAAAGAATTGAATTTTGTGATATAAAGTGTATAATTTTTCGTTACCGATTTTTTTGGAAATTGTTATCAGAAACTTTTTGAATTTTTCGGGAAATAATTGATCGAATCTTAAAGAATTGTATATAAAACAGAGGTAGAATTTCTCGGAAAGTGTTATAAACTGTATTAGTTTTTCGTTACCGATCTTTCAAAAATTTTATTAATTTTTCGAGGATGGGTTTAATTGCCACGATGTGTATTATTTTTCGATAACAATTTATTTTTTTATGTAGGATAAGTTGTTTATTTCACATATGTGAACAGTCACTTCAATTCGTGGCTTTCGTGATGCCCGTTCTAGACTGGAGGATGAGCCGACTCTCGGCTCATCCGAGTGAGTGGTGTAGATGGGTAAAAATCTATAGTTTATGTATAGTTTATGTCACGTACACTATAGAAGACAGATGAGCCGAGAGTCGGCTCATCCTCCAGTCTAGAACGGACATGACTGTCGCGAGTGATAGAAAAGTTATTGGAGTTTTCTTGCAATAACCTGCAGTTAAAACGAGAGAAACAACTTATTCGATTTTTATATAAATAAGATTATCATTAAAAATTTGGATAAATGAAAAGAAAAGTTTCCAAGAAATAATTTACACAAAAAAGAATGACGCCAAAGTTTTGTTAAAATATGTGTGTAAAATAATCCAATTTTTCATGAGAGGGAGAGGGAGAGGGAGAGGGAGAGGGAGAGGGAGAGGGAGAGGGAGCGAGAGAGAGAGAGAGAGAGAGAGAGAGAGAGAGAGAGAGAGAGAGAGAGAGAGAGAGAGAGAGAGAGAGAGAGAGAGAGACTATTGAGTAAGATTATTTGCGTGTATTATTACTCATGTCCTTCGGGGCGAAGCCCGGGTAACCAGCTAGTTAAATATATAATATTATTTTAAATATATTTTAAATATAGAATATATTTAATTAATATTAACTATATAATATTAAATGTATGAATAATATATATTTTTAATATTATACGATATATTATATATATATGAGAACAGTCATATAATATTACTGGAAAGATAAGAGAGCTTTTATTTTCAAACTAGTTTCGTTTATCACACTTATTGTCCTATTAATAACCAAATCATTGGCGCGATAATTCATGTGTCGCACGCGCGTTTTGTTTTCGTTTGGACGATCCTGTAGAAACCGGCACCGAACTATAACGGCGAATTAATTCCGCGCACTTCGCTTGCGTGGGCTCGCTAATTTACGCGAGCAGACGACGCGAATTTATTAAAGCCGCGAATTTCTTTAAATTCTGAAGAAAACTTTCTTTCCGGTCCGGAAAACGCAGATATTTACGTTTCTATTCTCGCGCGTGTCTAGCCTTAATAAATAATGTATATCTCCAGGTTTACCCACAAATTGGCCTTATGCTCTCTTGATTTGTCTACAACGAATAGTTTCTGTTTTCACTCCTTCCTTCCCCTTTTCTTTCTCTCTTTCTGTTTAATCTCATCTGAAAGAAAATTCATAAACACATAAGTACTATTTTTACAATATGTAGATAGATATTAATATTTACTTTTTTCATCCTAAGATTGACAGAATTATTATGTTTCAAGGATTAAAGGTAAGACATTATTTAAACAAATTTTCAGGTTGACAAATTGGATATTTGAAGATAACTATTTGATTATAGATGCTCGTATATTTTTATTTAAGGAAGTGTTCGCTCAAAAGTAAGCAATTTTTGGGATGTTTTTTCTCGTAAAAAACCTACTTAATACCTTATTAATTGTCAAGG